GTTTAGGGTTTAGAGGTTTAGGGTCGGGCTTTATTCGTTATGCCGTAGGGTTCAGTATTCTGACTACATGGGGTAGTTCTCGGAATTAGGGAACCCTTTTGGGGTCCCCAAAATAGCGCGGCCTCCCTACAAAACGTACACTAAAAGGGACCCTAGTTTAGAGAACTATCCACATTATAAAATATCCCCCCAGACCTTTTCGAAAGTTTGATAGGCCCATTGAGTAGGTCTTGGACAGTTTCTGGTTGGGGTTGGGGTTTAGGGTTTATGGCTTAGGGTTTAGGGTTTCAGGATTTAGGGCTGTCAGCTTTAGAGCTTGATAGGGGGTTTAGGGTTTAGGGGTGCAGAGAACTATGGAAGTCTAGCGCGGTTTCATGGTCGAGGTTATATAAATGTGTAGTATAGTCATACACTCCCAAAAACACTATTTAGCCATACGTGCTACTATCCTCGACCCCAGTAACTACATGATCATCTATGGGAGCTTCCGAAAATTAGGGTACCTTATTTTGGGGTCCTTATAATACGGATCCTACTATCTAGGGCACCATATTGGGGTCCCTATTTTCGGAAACCCCCCACATGATCATTAGGCTCTTTGGACCCCGCAGGGCCCGCATCTTCTGCGGTTCTAAATTGATATGTTTTGATTCTGGGTGGAGGGACCCCAAACCCGAAACCCGAAACCCTAAGCTCCTAAACCTTGAACCCTAAAAACCCTAAAACCCTGAACCCTGGACCCTAGACCCTAAACCCTAAACCGTGGCATGAGGCCTGCTTTTAGCCCGCGGCTACAATCCAGAGGGCTCAAAGTGGTGGTTTTGGAGCCTGGTAGGCCTTGAGGGCCCAAGGGGAACGAGAGTTATCGGTTTTGGGTGTAGGGTGTAGTTTACGGTTTAGGTTTAGGGCTAGGGTTTAGGATACTTCAGGGTTTATAGGGTTTGGGGGAACTTCACGGAACAAAAGTTAAATCTACAGGTGATTTCCTATAAAGTACTTAGAAGCGCACTTGCCAAGCGCAATTAAGTAAACATTGCAAGCCGCAAACATGCTAACCTAGGATTCTACCCAGACCATCCAATATCCCTTGCTTAAAGAATGCTAGTTAAATCATATTAGGGATCCTGCTGTATTTGAAGGTTTATTCCCTAATTAGGGGATATTGGAAGGTCTGGGCAAAAGTCGGTTCAAGCCCTGACACAAACCCCGAAAACCTGAAAATCGCACAACCTTAGGCCGAAATCCGAACCCCTCGACCCTGCTAAACTCACCCCAATGCGAGCCTGTAAAACACTCTGGCAGAGCCCAGAAGTTAAGATACATGTCATAGGCAAAAGTCGACCCTAAACTCCCACCCTAAACCCTCAACCCTCCTGGTAAAGATCACCGCGCAGTTCTGGTTGTCGCTCTTCCCGTGGCCGAGGATGGGAAATCCGGGCAGCTCAATGCGGAACTTTGGCGCCCTTGCCTCAGAAGTTAGAAGCTAGGGCAGCTAGGGTTTAATTGGGCTACTAGTACGTAGGGTTTAGGGCTGAGGGTTTAGGATGTAGGGCTGCAGAAGCTTTACAAGAGAGTTGACCAAGGCTGTATAGTGCTTGGTAATCTCATGGACTTTGCGTCCATAGGGTTAAGGGTTCAACTTTAAGCTTACGTGCACAGTTTGGGGTCCAGGGTCTAATCCCTATACACTTGGTCAACTGCCCCTCACTAGCGCAGTGCTGCCGAGACCTTCGTAGAACGCCTTGCAGACACCATGAATCCTTTTTGACGGTCCATAAAGGCCCTTCAACAAATTCAAAAACGTGTGTGCGACGACAAGGGCAGGTTACGAAGTGGCCCTCACCAACCTCATGGCGCGTGCAGGAGCTGTCAATCAGACAGGAGAAGTAGCGTCGTCCTCACGGCTTGAGGCCGAAGGGTGCAGAGTCTAGGGAATGGTAAGTCTAGAACTATACGCCCCGAGACATAACATTTTCCAAGAATCTTCTAGCAATGCCCACGACGAGTTGTGTAGTGGTTCAATAAGGACACGAAGGATTCTGTGCTTCTAGGCGTCGGATGTGTTCTTAGTCGAGTAAGTTACGGTAATACCGATAAGCCACAGAAGCGTAGACTGCTGGGCTTGGGGTAAAGGATGCTTCTCCAACTTTGGCAATAGCATGCCAAAAGCCGGAGAAACATCCTAAACCCTAAACCCTAAACCCAGAACCCTACGCTTCTGCGGCTTAGAGGCTTCAGGACAGCTGCCAACAGGTTTCGCCCATTTCCTCTACCAAGCTCCCAACATCGCGCTTCTTCTCCCCGGAACACCTGGAAAGGCCCCTGACTTAGACCAACCCTCCACTCCAAACCCTAAATCCCAAACCCTAAACCCTAAACCCCAAACCCTAAACCCCAAACCCCAAAACCCAAAACCCTAAACTTAAACCCCCTCAACCCCTAAACCCGGGGCTTAGTACCTACTTGCAGCCGCAAGCAAAGGTCCCAGCTCTCATTGCAGGATCCCTCAACCCTGCACTGTTTTAGGGGGCTATAGGGTTCAGGGTTTAGGGTTTAGGGATAGCGTTTACCCTAAACTTCTGAACCCTGAACCCCGAAGCCCCCCAAGCTGAGCCTAATCTTAACCTGGCTCCCTGCTTGGGACCATATGAAAAAGGGTCATGGTTAATCCTTATTGGGCTTTTTGTTAAAACAAAAATGCAAAGTTGTAGCCAACAAGGACCTAGTAATCCACCAGAAAGGCTCGAAGCCCCGAAGGCGTTTGGAAGAACGCGGGGTGGCCAGGGCCAGGTACACACTAAGGTTTCGGGTTTAGGGTTTAGGGATTCCCTCGATCCCTAAATACTAAACCCTCGGCCTAAACCCTCTAAACCCCCGAAGACTCAGCCCTAAACCCCTACATGCCGAACTCCAGCCGTGATCTAAGGCCTTCACCCCGATAAGCCATAAAAGGAGGGCTCCCAAACTAAAGCCCTAAACCCTAACCCTAACCCTAAACCCTAAATCCAAACTAAAACCCAAGAGCCAACAACAGATTCCCAAAGCCAGGATCCAAGGATCCGGCTTCCTTATAGGGTTTTGGGCTTGAGGGTTGAGGGTTGAGGGTTTAGGGGTTTAGGGTTTTGGGGTTAGGGGTTTGGGGTTTTGCGGGTTTAGGGCTTCAGGGTGTAGGGCTCCGGGCTTGGGGTTGAGGGTTGAGAATTTGAGGTCTGGGGACTAATTAGGGATGAGGGTGTAGGGACGGGAGTGGTGTCAAGCTTTCGGTTTAGGCCTTGACTTTGGGGATTCCTTTTGGAGTTTGGTCTTTAACGATTTTAGGGCTCCGGGTTTAGAGTTTTAGGGTTTAGGGTTTAGAATTTAGGATTTTAGGGTCTAGGGTTTGGAACTTTAGGGTTTAGGGCTTGGGATTTTGGGCTGTAGGGTTTCAAGCTCCCCGACTGAGCCCCCTCTGTCCTCCCTCTCCCTCTTGCTCCTCAATGTACGCGATGCTCCTTCGCAAGCTCTAGAGACTCTGGTTCAGGGTTGGGTTTAGGGTTCAATTCCTAGACACGGTTCAATTCCTAGACACAGCGAAGCAGATCGAATAACCATTC